CCCGCCACACCAACCCTCACGCGGGCTCAGCGGGCGCGGGGCTGCCTCCTGCGGGACCTGCTGGAAGCTGAACCCCGAAGGCAGGTAGACTCCGAGGCCCTTGAGAATAGCCTGGTAACGAAGAACCCAGCAATGCCTGGGTCCGCCGTTGGGACCCAGAGGAAGGGTGCCTGCTTCCGCTCGCCTGTGCCTGCTGCAGACCCGAGGTGTCCGAGGGAAGGGTTAATGAGGGCCAGGCTGGGAAGAGGCGGCCGGGGCCGGGGACCGACGCGCACTATTGTCTTCCCGACTCCCCAGCCGGACTGAAGAGCAGCCATGCGAGCCCGATCATCTAGTCAAATACTATTTTTCACCCAATTAATTCCTGAACTCTTCCGCGACCCCATTTCATGCCAGTTTATTTTAAGCTGCCACTCGGCTGGAGACCCGCCAAGAAATTATGAGACGTTCCAGTCCCAGATGCCTCTGTGTTCCCTTTCTGGGCTGCTGTGGTCGCCCTTCGAGTCTGCGGGGCCTGGCAGGTGGGTGCAGGGCAACCCAGCGGCAGGGCCTAGTCCTGTGTGCGCCGTGGCCGGCCTTCGCCGGGATCCGACCCCGCCTCTGCGGCTCAGAGATGGCGTTCCGTACTCGAAGCCAGGAGCAGGAAGGGAGCATGATGGGGGCTCGGCGGGCACGAGCCTGCCTGTCGGCCCGTAGAGGTGGCCCTTTGTCCCTTTCGGGCAAAGGTTTTCCACGAGGAGCACTGGCGAGGACCGCTCCCTCCCCGAGAAAGCCTCTGCCCTCCACAGTCCCCCAGGGCCCGCGCCTCCTTGACCGTGTCTCTCTCCCTCTCTCTCCTCCAAGCGTATGACACCTGGTGCGGCGTGGCCCATGGATGCACCAGAAAACTGGGGCTCAAGATCTGCGGTAAGTGGACGGGCCTGCTGGGGCCCGACAGGGCGGCGCGGCGCGCGGGCCTCGGAGGCTTGGGGGAGCTGGGCGCACGCGAAGCGGGAACCCGGCTCTTGGGCCTGATTTTCTATTGAACTTCACAGCCGGGACACCCGGCGAAGATGCTGCCGTCCAGGCCCGGGCCCTCGTCCTCCCTCCCCTGACCTTGTCCCGCAGGGGCCTGTCCTCGGGAGTCCCCTACCCCGGAGACCGCGGCGAGCAAACCCCCGGGTGCCGGGTCTGGGCGTCGGAGCGGGAGCAAGCGCCCCCGCGCGGCAGCCCGGCTCTCCCAGCCCGGCGCCCTGGCGGCTGCGCCCCGGTGCGCTCGGCCTGCGCGTCTCGAAGGTCGCGTAGAAAAGGTGAACGGATCTGCCTTTCCAGGAGGGCACACCAAAGGCGCGGGATCTGACTGTGGCTGTGGTTGACGTGCCCCCTCCACACATAGACACACAACATCGCCCCTCTCACTCCCACCTCCACCCGCGCTCTTGAGGGGTTTTTTACTCCCCTGATGAGATGTCACAAAGGATTCAAGTTCCTTCTTGGGGGCCTTGGAGGCCAAGGGAAAAAGACTGCCTGCAGCGCTGGGTGGCCTGCCTGGGGGAGGTGTCGGCGGCTCGAGCACGCGGGTTTGCCTGGGAAGCCTTCAAGACTCGGGGGTGGGAGACGGAAGTGTCGGGCACGATTTGCCAGGGAGGAAAGAAAATAGATCGGGGTGCTGGAGGGGAGAAAAGAACTGCTCTCTGGAGACGAGAGGGTCTGAAATGAAAAGGCCCAAGGGATGTAATTTTTTTAAAGGAAAATAGGAGATTTGTTCGAAGGGACACAGCTGAGTGGCTCCGGCTGAACAATGAGGACTTGCTCGCCTTGCTACATTTCACCGTCTAGAATTCTCTAGCCTTATCGGGCCAGAAAATACGGATGTCCCCGGGCAGAGGGTGGAGAGGCGGAGGAAGATTAACGAGGGGCTTATTAAAGAGCCATCCGTCAGCTGCTGCGCACGGGAGATAGCGGCGGGGCCGGCGCTGGACACGCCCGCCCGCCCGCCTGCCGTGGCCCGGGAGCGT